ACCTTGCAAAATCCTAAAGCTCTGCTCCCACATACCTTTTTAGGTCAGATTTTTTGAAGTTTGGCACTTGGAGCTAAATTTCATCATTTTTGTGAATCCTTCTTGAGCCTAACCAATCACTTATTTTTCATTGCAGCAGGTTGAAATTTGTACTGAACATCCACAAAACCCTGAGGATAATGTGCAGCTCAACAGTTGTTGCTAAATGTTGCATAGTAATCAAAATCAATGATCAGTTTAAATAAAGAATGCTCACTCTCTTGCAACAAAACTGTGATTTTGTATTATTTTGAGAAAGCATTAATAGTAGGCATCTCTACCTTAAGACGCAATCCGATACAAATGTAGATACATGGGTAACGATATACAGTTCACTAACGATGCATTTTAATACATAACGATGCAATGCAGCTTGAATGTATGTGTGTGGTGAAAAAATTAAAGAGAAATGCATCAGGTCAGAACAATGTCATTATGTTTATCTTTCTAATACACACAGACAAGACAGACTGTTGCTGTATTAAATATGAGAAAATATTTACATGAACTCCTTCAATATATTCCATAAACTTTGCAAACTGAAAACATTCAAAATGTCTTCAGTTTGTGCTGATGCATTTTATCAAACCAAACTAATGCTGAGCTTCAAGTTCTGCTCTGTGTTGCTGACACTGAATGTACAGACTAACACACAACACAACACAAGGTGCTTCTGTATTCTGGGTTTTTGCTTGGTGAGACAATAATTAGTCTTCTATTAAACAGGCAGCATGTGTCTGTGTTAAGTTGTGGTTATGTAGCTACAGCTGCCCTGGGACAGACTGACAGAGGCGTGGCTGCCATTCTGCGCTTACGGCCCCTTCGACCACCACCTCCCATCCTAAGCGAATGTTACTCTCGTAATACGTCACTGCGGGAGTCTCGCAAAACTGGAACGGCCATATTTAGTAGCAGAGCTCCAATCAACCGATTCATAACTTTACAACTGGAAACCTCCACAGTACATATACTGTAGATCAATCCAGAGGCCCGATGTGTTCATATTGCTAAAGTTAAAATCGATTTCCGGTTTGTATCTGTGAATCTTTACACCCCTAATTAATAGCAAATTAAAAGTTGGCTGCCATAGATCTTGACAAATATGGCTTCGGAGCTAGATGCATTTTTAAAAGTTATACTGGGTTTTTTTGGGGTTTTTTTGTTGGTTTGTTTTATCTTAGTTTTTTTGTTTGTTTGTTTGTTTGACAGAAATTTTATGTTTTTCGATCATACTGTGTGCCACCCCAACTTTTCAGTGGTCCCATCTTGCCACCCCTAAAAATTTCTGGATGCACCCCTGCATGTCTGATTATTTGTATAACTAGTCTGAGAATATAGCTGACCTTTTTCCCAGAACACAAACCTGATACAAACATTTGACTGTTGGATGGTCTTTTTCTTCCCCACTTTCTGGTGAGAAAACTGGCATATACCAAATCAAGCTGTGACTACTTGTGAGTGAACACCTGATTTTTGGTTACTGATATTTGCATGATTATCTCTGACAGACATGATCAGTCTGGATAATGCAAAGACAGCGCCTGGTAAAAATATCTTTCATTGCAACTTGTGGGAAAACACAGCTGATAATAATCCTAACATAACATTATTTGGTAGAAGCAAACAAACAAAAATGAAACACTAACAGTTGCACAACCTTAATTGCTGCAAGCCTATTTAACTAATTGGCAAATGAATTGACCAGTTAACAAGTCAACATTTTGATTTTCACTGCTTTGATGAAGGTTGAGGACAGAGGCCTTTCTTTACTCCCTCCAGCCTCTTTCTATGTGTCCTCTTTTTGATCTGATCACATTCCTCTACTTATCACCTATTTCTTCCCTTTGTTTTGTCTGCATTGTTCATTTCTCTTGTATTTCCTTCATTGTCTATCATCCGGCCTGTCATCTGCCATCAGCAATTTCACGCTTCATCCTAATCTGTTCTCTTAAAGTCTCTTCTCTTGGTTTACCTTCTCCACCCTTACTTTTTTACCTTCTCTCTTGCACATTGTCTTCTTTCTCTCTCTCTCTCTGCTTTCCTTTTGGCTGTTATGGCTGTTTGTTGCTTGCAGTAGTCTTTCCTCGCTATGCCGCTTCTTCCCTGTATTACTCCTTTCAGACCTCTGAAGTCTGTCTTCATCTCTTGGGAGAATGTCACGTCAATCTTGACAAGCAGGCTTCCAAGCTGTGCCAGACGATTAGTTGGTCAATCTACCTTTTAAGTAGTTTTCAGTGCCTGTCTGTGTAGGTCTGCGCATTGACTTTTCTGCACCTGCCTATGTCTGACATACACTTGTATTTACACACATAAAGGGTATCTTTCTCCATATTGTGGTCAGGGTTTTAGGCTGTGACTGTATTCTTAATTCCCACATTTCTGGTTTCTGCAGTGTCAGTGTAGAGAAGGTTTGGGGTGATGGCATTGGCATGTATTAGGGCTGGAGATTGGAAGAAATTCCCCTGAGAGTGGGGGCAGGGTGAAGAATGCTTGAAAGACTGAGATGTGTGACATACAGAAGAAAAGAGGTGGCTGGCCCCAGGCGGGACAGTAAATGAGAAGGGAAAGACTGAGATAACTGAGGTGTAGGGGGAGTGAGATAGAGCCTGAGGACAACAACATATGAGTTAAACAAAGAAGGACCGCTTTAGATTGAACTGATATATCAAATTTACTCTCTTCTTTTCGGTCAATTGTTCAGTCTCAGCCAGTATATTAAAATTAATTGGATCATTCCTAAAGTGTAGCAGCAACTCATCTTGCAGTTGCAGCAAGCTAAATCAGCTCGGAGGTAATTGAATGAAAGTTTCGAGGAAAAAGAAGGCGAACAACGAAATGTAAACTCACTGTGGTTTAAAAAATGACACTGCCAGGGTGCTTTGAATTTATTTTATTAGGGTTTTTTTTTTAACCTGTATGAGAGACAGGATAATAAAGTATGTGCAACTCATCACAAACACACATCTCAGCCTTGACAAGGCAATTAAAGAAGAGTAGCTTATCATGTGCTCAACAACACCTAATTTTATTTAGCTCAAGGTGAAGATGCAGCAAGATCCATGTCGTGAAATCTGTTGAGAAGGTGATGATGATGTGATTGCACACACATATTAAGAATCAACACAGTTCAGTACATGTAATAAGTCAGCCTGGAAAAAAAAAAAATAATATTAGTAATAATGTATATCACTAAGGGACAGTATGAAGCAAAATGTCAGTAGAAAATGTTGGGGAATTATTTGAAAGCAGCACAATGTATAAAATGTCAGTTACGGTGAGAAAGTTAATGAAAGAGTGAAGTCAGGAGGTAAAAGAGAGAGACGGGAGATGATAAAGGTGCTTATAGACAGACTGTCATTGCAAGAGATGCAGCAAGACAGATGACGAAAGCTCAGCAGAAGTGAGACACACAGCGGATTGAAGAGCAGTAAGAAGGGAATTTGAGGTTTGTCAGCCTCTTTTGACTTCCAACTTTAACTGACTTTAGCATGAAGACAAATGTCAGAGTGGAGAAGTTAGTGCTGGAGTTGAGTTTCCATTTTTTCATTGGTAATTATAATTCTAGCATATACTGAAACCACCTCAGTTTGTGAGTTTCTGAGTTAACAGCAAAGTGCCAAATGGGAGTTTTCAAAATGAAACCTAAGAACAAATGCTTTACTGAATCCCCAATTCTGGCAGTGGATATGTAGGAGTCTAGCTTCAGGGTTGCAGTGGGGAAAATTGGGAGCAATAAGCTATTGGACATGAACTGTGACGGCCTATTATTATTTTTAATTGAATACAGCCAACAGAGACATGCTGCAGCCCTGACATAAGCCATAATTTCAAATCATAATTACAACACATTTTGTGAAGGCGTCGCAGTCACATTTGTTGTTTTTGTTTTGTTTATTCATTTTTTCACATTTCTTGAATTGAATGTAAATAAATTAGTCTTTTTTGACTTTTCCATGAGTATACTTTTGTCCTCATTGCTACAAAAAGTAGAGTATGCACTGATAAAAAGATGGAACAGTCCTTAAACTTCAGCTGCTAATAATTTCTTTAGAAAGACTGCAGCACTTTAGCGCTATGGATTGCATACGTCAAGGCAGCTTGTGACTAAAACAGGCTTTTCATCAGCAATAAAAGTAACAGGAACAAAAATGAAATTACACCAGTTATCCTTTTGACTTCATAGAGAAAGACCAAGGAGGACACTGAACACCCTACTGAGGGCTAAAACTAATTCAGGGAATGGCAAAAGCTGAAGAACTGTTCTAGTACATACAGAAATTGACATTTATAAAGTCTGATGCAGTCTCGAGATACAAGCTACTGTAGCATGAAGAGGTCGCTCCAACCACCACAGTATACGCAGAAACACTCAGATGCTTAGTGTTTAGTGTTATGTGTCTGCATGAACTTTGGAAGTTCAGCATGCATGATGATGGATTGCCAGTGCTGGTTGCTAGACATGCATTTCTGTAATTTCTTACATATGGAGGGGAGCACACAAGCAGTCTTAACCACTTCATTAACTTTTAATTTACCATTTGAGTAAGTCAGAAAATAGAATGCAATAACTTTAGTCTGATGTTTGTCGACTGCCATGGAATGTAAAGAAAAGAGTACATCACAAAAGCTTCTGTGCAATAATCCTCATTAAAGCCAATATACAGAGACAATATAAGCAATTTGGTAAGTTATATACCAGGCTGTCAGCGTGCATCCCTTTATACATGTCACTTCACTTTATACACGACTTTGTTCTCTGGCACACATTAGCTTCTTACAGTGGTTTTAGTGTTGTTTTCGCAACTTGAATACCAGCATCTAATATTTGTTTTCAGCAAGTCCAAAGACTATTCAATAGCAGCTCTCAAAACAGATTTCTTAAAACCTAATGTTGTCAGAGAAAGTTCCTAACCTCTCACCAAACCCCCCTCCCATCTCTCTTTCATTCTCTCTCTATCTAGAACTAATAGATGGGACCCCCACCTTGAAAATCAACCACGGCTCGGGCACAGTGGTGTTACAGTTGCCAGGCAACGTGAACGTGGCAGACAGGCGGTGGCATCGGCTGGATGTCCGCAGCAACAGCAAGGTGGGACGCTTCATCCATTTAACACCAAGCACCATTTATTTAGCAAATAAGTACCAAGCTCATGAAAAACATGTTTGTTTTTGTTTTTTTCTCAGGACGACAGTTTTGTCTCTAAAAGAAATGATTTTCTTTTTATTTAGTAATGCTTTTTGAAAGACGCCTAAATTAAAATGTCATTATTATAAACAAACAAGTTTATCTTGGATACACCCATTGTAGCTTTATTGTTATTTTCTTTTTAAATATTGTCTTATTTTCACAAGGATATCAATAATTTGCTTGTGGTTATGTATGCGTTATACCTTCAGCTGCTGTGTCTTTTGAGGTTGAAGATATCAGAGATAGAAGTTATAAAGAGAGCACTAGTGGTGCATGTATTTGTGCATGAGTTAAAAGAAACCACTTACCACTGGTAGTGTGATTGTGGTACTGAACCGCATCTTTTTTAGCTTGAAGTGGCAGCATCTTTACATTTACTGAACACACACCTGCAGCATTGGCCTCAGTTTGACTTCGAGCAACCTTCAGATAGATATGAATCAATCTGGTTTTGGCAGCTACATTTATAAAAATGAATTTGTGTGTCGTACATGCCTTGAATTCTTCTTGGAACAGTCAAGATGCATCAAGATGCATAGCAAAAACTGTATTTAGTGTGGATGTGACTAGAGCCCAGCTACAGAACAGACAACTCAACTTTACTCAACTTTAGTGATGCAGATGCATTTGTCTACTGCTATGTGAAAAAAACTTATGTTGTTTCTATCACTGCTGCAGTGTATTTGGTGTTGTAAACAATGTAAGAATAAGATGCTTTGTATGGGAGTCTCCACTGGGAAAAAAACACACAAAAACAAAACAAAAGAGGCAGTGTAACTTATTGTCAACGTTACAGTAGATTCCAATATTCATCCTTTCAGTATTCCTGACAAAAAGTCCTCGGAAGACAAGAAAATTCAAAATGAGATTTGGGATGACGTGGTGATATGATCAAAAAGTTTAGAGGCTGTTCCTGTTGTGAATGGATAGAGTGTAGCAGGGTCATGTACATGCAGTGGGTGTGAGTAGTACCATTCTGAAGTCAGGATTCCACCATAGACTGTATCTATAAGATTAATGTAGCCACCGCAACATCACCCAATAATTTTTGGACTCATGTTTAAAGTCTTAAACTTGGCGACTGATTGCCAAGTGAGGGCTGGATATGAGTGACAACTCCATAAGGTAGCAACCTTTCAATCCTAAAACATATCCTGCTTTATATTGTCTATTTTACTCTAAATGGGACCATAATTTGAAAAATGAGCACTATTCTGTCTTCAAAAAGGCTTGAAGCTATAAAATGATGAAGGAAAATGTTTAGGTAACTGATCAAGGAACAAGCAGGGCCATTTTCCATTTTCTTTCTTGCTCTTCTTTTTTTCAAGATTTTTTATACAATCTTTTTGCAGTCAGAGGAGCCATCATTAGAAACAATTCAGATTGAAGGCATTTTCACTGGTACCACAGAAACAGAAATTATCCAAATGACCCTGATCAAAAGTTTACATACCCCAGTTCTTAATACCATGTATTGCCCCAATGACAGCTTGAAGTCTTTTGTGCTAGTTGTGGATGAGGCTCTTTATGTTCTCAGATGGTAAAGCTGCCCATTCTTCTTGGTAAAAAGCCTCCAGTTCCTGTAAATTCCTGGGCTGTCTTGCATGAACTGCACGTTTGAGATCTCCCCAGAGGGGCTCAGCGATATTGAGGTCAGGAGACTGAGATGGCCACTCCAGAACCTTCACTTTACTCTGCTGTAGCCAATGACAGCTCGACTTGGCCTTGTGTTTTGGATTGTTGTCATGTTGGAACGTCCAAGTACATCCCATGCGTCTCTGTGCTGTTTGGCGTACTGTAAGCAGGATGTTTTGTGGCATTTGCGCAGAAATGGCTTTCTTCTGGTGACTCGACCATGCAGCCCATTTTTGTTCAAGTGCCTCCTTATTGTGCGTCTTGAAACAGCCACACCATTTTTTTTCAGAGTCCTGTATTTCAGCTGAAGTAATTTGTGGGTTTTTCTTTGCATCCCAAACAATTTTCCTGGCAGCTGTGGCTGAAATTTTTGTTGGTCTACCTGACCATGGTTTGGTTTCAACAGAACCCCTCATTTTCCACTTCTTAATTAGACTTTGAACACTGCTGATTGACATTATCAGTTCCTTGGATATATTTTTATGTCCCTTTCCTGTTTTATATAGTTCAATTACCTTTTTTCCGGCAGATCCTTTGACAATTATTTTGCTTTCCCCATGACTCAGACTCCAGAAACATCAGTGCAGCACTGGAGGATAGATGCAAGGGTCTGTCAGGAGCCCAGAACCTCACTGACCTTTTATACACACACACTGATTACAAGCAAACAGATCACAAGTGAGAATGGTTACCTTTAGTATGTAAACTTTTGATCAGGGTCATTTGGGCAGTTTCTGTTGTCATTATGATTTAAAAAGAGTAAACACATTTGTTTGACAATAATTGGCTTCACCCAACCACTAACCATGAGTGGAAAAAAAAGGTTTTCTCTTATCATTCATATTCTCTGAGAAACGGCCAAAAAATCACAATCTGCCAGGGTTTGTAAACTTATGAGCACAACTGTATGTAGCATTTCTGTACAGTCCATGTGGCATCATGGGGTCAGTATCAAGATCTGTGTTACTCACTTGAGCAGAAAGCAAACATCCAGTTCTGTGTTGGAATATCAGCAACTAAGAAATGCTTCAGACAGCCTACAGCAATGGAGCAATGAGCTAGGCAAGATGTTTTGAATGGGATTCCTGCTTTAAAAGGGGCCAGACATCAATAAACAGCAACAAGAGGTCAGGGCAACCTTCCACAAACATAACCCTCAAAATTGTCCGAAACTGGAACATATTGTGCATCAGAATTATTGGCTCACCATCAAGGAAATTGCTAACGTTGTCAGTCTAATATGAACATGCACTGCAAAGTTCATGCCCAGGCTGCTAACTCAGAAGCAACACTGTGTATTAAGTCTGCAAGGATCTCCATCAACAGGCCTGGGAAGACCCAACCATTGAGATCATCACTGGTTAAAAGAGTTGGATCCACAGCTATGGCCCAGAGACCAAACAGTAGTCTCTAGAGTGGAATAACTCGCAGTCTTTAGGACTGAAGGCGGCATGTCAGGTCTGGAAGATGATCAAGAGCATGATCCTCATTTTCCTTGACATTCAAAAGGTTGTGCACCCTAGTGGGGCAGACTGTCAACACTAAGTTTTATGGTAATGTTCTGATGTGACTCAGGGAGAACATTTGGTGCAAATGACCTGAAGTGTTGCACAATGGCTATTGGGTGCCACATGATGACAACACGCCCACTCAAAACACAATAAAGAAGCCCACGTTTTTGGCCATACCAACACAAATATTGCTCTCCGCCCACTCTGCTCGCCAAATTTCACTCCCTGTGCTTGCTCACTTGCACCAAAATAAAATTCAAGTTGAAGGGTTGCTGTTTTGACACAGTGCAGGAGATCAAGTGCATGTTGAAGATGCTGCTGTACACAGTGCTGGGAGTGGTGTCTCATTGCACAAGGTGACAATTGTGTCATGGATAGTGGCCATTGTGGTTTCTGATTTTTGTAGGTGCAGTCTTGGAGCTTTTTAATCATATCTCGTATTTGGTGACTTCTGATTTTAAGATATCACAAGAAAGTAACAAGCTGCTCCTTTAGTTCAGTTATACATATTGTGTACGACTAATATAATATTGGACATCATTTATATCCTGACATTTACAACATTTCTTTTTAAAAAATGCTGTACAATGCTTATGTGAATGCATTTCAGCGATAAACATATATGTGTAGTTAGACAAGAAAATGCATGCTGCACATGGCTTCTGGAGAAGTTGAACAACAAAATTCCTTCGCTTTTCTACATTGGAGTATTCATTGTTGGACAGTGCCAAACAGCATGTCATTTTAAAAAAAAAAATAACATCCTTATGTGATGCAATTATTTCAACACATGATTCCTGTCTTTGTTGTAAAATATTAACATAATCACATTTTTAACCTTATAGTGTCAAAAAGACTCCAAATAGCCTCAATTTGGCTTCACATAATTGTGATTCATACAGTTATTTCCCAGTAATCGAAATAGGGAAGATGTTAGCGATTAAGCATTATAAAACTGTCTGTACTCTAAAGTACAAAAGGAGATAATTGTGGTGAGAGTGAGACGAATGATTGCAATAGTCCTCCTTTGACATTCTCCGCCCAGGATAATTTCAAGTGAATTCAATTAGAGTGAAATTAAGCTAATCTTCATTTGACTGAGAACCGCCTGCAGCTCTTTACCTCCAAGGATTCCACTTCCCAGTGGTTTTTCCCCTCCTAAATATCAACAAGACAGTTGCTGATTCTATTTTTAGAGGCTTTGATATTACCCACCCTCATAGCTTCAAGCTTCACAGTCCAACTGTGAGCCTAGGACACCTAAAAGTAGCAAGACTGGCTGCGTCCCAACACTCTTTCATCTCAACGTCCAAAACTCATTTAATGGAGGACCACTTCTGCAAAAGCACGCGACTAACTCAGATTTTAGTCGGCACTCTACGATAAAAGCCCTTTGATACGTAGCACCATCAGAAGCCTTTTTAAAATCTAAAATTAAATGATTACACTTATGTCAGCCGTACATTATTAATTGCTTAATTTTAACTGGCGCAGACCTATAATGTCCCCCCCTCCACACACACACACACACACACACACCCACACACACACACACACGGACACAATCACACACACACACACACACACCACCTTCCGCTATTCAATTCAGTTCAATTCAAAATTATTTGAATGGCGCAGTTTACAACAAATGTCATCTCACAGCGCTTAACATGGTAAGGTGAAGACCAAGACGATTTTAAACAGAGAACCCAACAATCCAAAGTTGCCTTTGGACTCCTCTGAGCAAACGGTCAGCAACGGTGGAAAGGAGGGAGGGAAGGCGGCCAGCTGCCTCTAGGTGCCACTAGGTCGCACTATCTCAAGTGCAGGCTAACCATTAGAAGCCATACCATCAGGAAGCTTGCTGTGCCACCAGTCCATTGAAATATGTGTAAAATTTGTTCCTTTTACCAAATTATTCAGTTCAGTACCACACAGTCATTGTGGCAAAAACACGTCACTTTTGCTCATCTTTTCATTTGTGAAATTTCATTTGAATGAAAACAGCTCCAGGGTCAGCTTCACTTGGATACATGTAAAAAAACCACAGAGTACATTTACTCAGGATTGAAAATGAGAATAGCCAAATGAATGCATGCACCAAGACTTTTGTGTAATGCAGTGGCATTATTCTGAATTGCATGGATACGAGAATACATTGAGACTTTTGTTATTACAGCTGGGATTATTTTGCATCACAATGGTATTATTCTAAATCACATGTGAATCTATTCATTTGTCCTGAATAGTCAGCAGCAGCTTATCCAACCTGCTTGTGTGACAGCATGAATCCAACTCAGCAAAGGACAGTGCTGCTGTCAGGGAGATTTACTGTGCAATTCAGCAGCCAAGAAACAAACATTGTCTCATTGTACTTCTTAAGGAATTATAGCCATTGATAGATATGTAAAGCCATCTGAAACCACAGTCTGGAAACTTGAAAACAAGTGTTTACCTCCTGTGGGTGTTAGATGTTGATATATGGAGTGCGCATTACATTTCATCCTGCAAACAACCACTGTTTATGCAACATCATCACCTAAACTGATCCTTCTGAACAATTAGCTGGTTTTTCTTACACGTACAGTTGAGGTGGAGAGAAAGACGTACAATGTGGGAAATACAGCAGGAGGAAGTTACATAGCAAGTGGTCTTTGGCTGGGGTTCATGTATGTTCAGCCATTGGGTCGCACCTGGTTTTAAGGGCACATTAAAAGCTTGAAATTGTCAATGTGACGGCCATGTAATTGTAAAGAGAAAAATATGCCAAACCACTGAGTATACTAAACTGTATTATTTTAAGCAAATTTATTCCAGGAACAATTGTTTCTCCATCCCCACCAGCAGGACTTGAAGGTCTTTAAGCAGGTCTTGAAGTGTGAATTTCTTTTCTTTCTTTCTTTTTTCTTACATTCTGCTCAGTAGGCAAGTTTAAATGGAGTATAAGAAATAGCATTATGTACTGTTGGGGATGCTGATTAATCTTGGAACAACATTTTATGAACTTATCACAAATCTATCCAGCATGTTTAAAAAACAAAAATCAGTTTATGACAAATTTGGGGAATGAAGACTTTGGTTAATCTGACTTGGAACACTCACAGAAAACGTATAAACAAAGTAAACACTCTTTTATGGCCCGATATATCGATTATATCTAACATTATCCAGTTAGAAAAAAAAGTTTTTGTAATCTTCCACAGCTGGTTTATATTTGACTCCAAGTCAACAACTTACTTTTGAATATCAAACAGACAACAAAACGTTCCCTTTTTGGTAATATTACACATAACAATAACAACATGTTTTCTGTCTGCCCTGAAAACACATATAAAAGCTTTTATCGCAAATGTGTAAAAAGTAAAATCACAGGTGCTGAGTTTTATCACACTAATGGCTGGAACTGTATGCTAAAACACTGGCACATACACAGAGTCATTTTGCTGATTTTTATTCGTGGCAATTTTTGAGGCAATGGACCAAATTCCCACAAAAAACAAGGCAGTCCCTGTATTTTTGTAATGTCCTTGTGCATCATACCAAGTGTGATGTGATCTGCCATGATCTGTATGTATAGGTTGTCATGGATTCAGCTTAACCACGTTTGTCTTTACTTGTTAAAACACCAAGTGTACAGGTTTATATGCTTATGATGTGAAGTCTTATTTATTTTGCATGCATTAACAAGAGACATAACTGACAACAGTGAAGTGTTATGCACTAATGAAAGACGTGAGTCACACGCTGTTCCTGGTATAGTAATAATGCTAATAGACCACTTGACAGCAACAAAGTGCACTCATAATTCAGAGAAATAGGGCCTTAATAAATTAACTTGATTTGCCTGACAACATTAGTTTTACACAACACGTCTTTGTTTATTTTTCTCTTTAGGAAGTACGCTTCACCCTGGATCGATGCTCAGGTGCAGCAGTGATGGAAATGGAGGGTCTGGGGAGCTGGCTGACCACAGAAGACCACTCATCCTGTGAGGTGATGGGTGTTACACCCAATACAGACAGGTACACACAGTCACCTGAGCAGACACTTGTGTGCGTCTATTTTTAACCACAGACTTTTTTTTTTTTTTCCCTTTGGTTGAATTTCCTTTTAGCCAGGTCCACATATTCATGTTTCATTTTAGAAATGAAAGTAGTGAAATGAGGCCTGCTTTGATTGATGATTTGATGATTTGAATCAAATTTTGAATGTGGTTCCTGCAGCCTGCTGGGGCAGTGCTGTTTCATTCAAAGAAGAAAATACGCTAATTTAAGCTACTTGAACCTGTTAAACATAACTACAACGTAAGTGTATATTGCAAAATAACTATTTAATAAAAATAGTTTAATCATAGTATGTACCTTGTATGGCATGTCAGAATTAATTAAAAGTGCTTATTCAAGTGCATTTTGTTAATTTCAGTGTGAAAGTAGGTTCTTCGGTTTTTGACAAGCAGATGACCTGACACTGCTCTGGGCAGCTCTCTGCAACACGGACAATGCCACCATTGTTAGTAGCATGCTAGTATTGCTTTGATTTTTATGCCATTTTTGTGACCGATATCTCTGCAATGCCATAAGGAAATTTATTTAAATTTGGCGCAAACTTTTACTGGAATTCAAGGAACTGGCTAGATGTTGGAGGTCAAAGGTGAAATGTCACTATGACTTTAAGTCCGTGCCATACTTGCGAAAAATTTGGGAACGCCTGAAGTGAATTTTGACACAAACGTTTACTTGGACTCTTGCATGGATTGTCCAGAATTTAGTGGTCAAAGGTCAAAGGTCACTGTGAAGTCACAAAAACATATAACTGAAAAATTCACCAACTTCACTGGTTGGCAGAGACAAACAGTAATTCTACTTTTGATCACATGTGAAAGTGCAGTGAGTATCACTGATTCATTTTTAAAGTGTGTGATGAAAGAACAAATCCTTTACTGGATACAAGTCACAAAATGCTACACAGACCCACAGAATTTACATTTGAGAAAATACTTTAGTTTTGTTCATAGAAAACAAAAAGATGTGTGCCATACTTTGTGGGCAGCATTCCCATGTTCTAATATTTTAAGCATCACCTTAAAGCTGCACGAACTAATATTTTTATGTTGTGAAGGATCAAATGAATGATTGGATTTTGGATTTAACGCCTACCATCATAGTTACTTCCAAGCCATTTATCAAATTACCACTGACATTCCTCCATGTCTGCCCGATGGATAAATAGGCAACGGATTACTAACACATGCAGTGTAATGATAATATGTCACTGTTGTATTTACAGCTTATTCCACTTCAACAAAGTGTAAAAAAAATTTACTATTTACATTTCTTTAGAAAAATAATTAATCATGTAACTTAGCTATCGATGGCTTAGAATGACACAGCTGGAGATGACAACAATTTTTGTTTATCTTTCACATGTTTGACCGCCCGTGTTTAATGTTAGAAAACCAATTAGGATGGGTGCTTGAAAGCTGAAGCAGCCACTGCAAAAATGCTACCAACATTGTGGTAAAATCTTAGTAAAATCTCTCAACACTTTCTTTTCAAATCCTTCTGACAATTGTTCTCAAATAATTTTATGTATTGTGTACAATGGACTCTAATTTTTGTTGGTAAATGGTGTGTTCATATCTCCGTGTGTTTCAGACATCTGAACATGAGTCAGGTGCTCCAGCTCGGTGGTGTGAACGAGGACATCCCTTACATCTACCCTCAGCTTCAGCACAAACACTTCACCGGCTGCATCCGCAACCTCATCGTGGACAGCAAGGTAACACACTGTAATACTGTGGCACACATACACACCCATATGCAACCACACAACCATTAGCACACCAGCATGCAAGCAAAGGCAAACTCACACCTGCATTCCAGCTGATAAATGGATTAATAACAGGTTCCAACATTCACAGTACCCTTGTGCCACGTAAGAGAGGGGTTTTTATGCTTTTAACTACAACCTCAAAGCATTTTCAAATGCTACACACATGGACTCTAAGAGTGAAATGAAATATGAACATTTCCACTTCTGCCCAGTCTGACTTTAAGTCAAGACTTTGAAGTAGCCTTCTGCTGCTCTGTTGGAGTTAAAAAAGTCAAGGACTCCATACTCAACCATGACAATCAGAGCCCAACCCCAACTAAACCTAAATCACTTCTGTATGAACACAGTCCTCTGGTATGATGGCCTTGTGTGAACCCACTGCCTTCTAAAAGCCTAAAATGTAGGTAAAAATAGCCTTTTATGCAGCAATTTTTAGCTTGGCATCAAATAAACCTGTGACTAACTGTTAAATTTTGCCCCTGTTAGTCCAAAACTGTTGAGCCTTGCCTGATATAACTGGTATTTAGACATAAATGTCAGTCTTTTTTAGGCTGGATTCCCAAAGGAGTAGTGGACTGTGTAAGATGTGGGTTTCCTGATCATCAAAACTCACATCCCGTAAAATGTCTGTGCCTCAAAGATGCTTGATGTACTGCTCCAAATATATCATGTGGTACTTATTACTCCTTTCTATATCGCCTTTGTTACTTGCTGTCAGTGATTTCATTCTCTCATATTGCTTATCTGTGCAGAAGCATCAGTTGTGATTTAAACTTAATTTACACGTGTTATAAATGGGTCCCCCCATTTGCATATGCTGTCAATCTGATCACGGCATTGTTGCATTCTCCATGTAAGGGAAAGGTGAGTAGGAAGGGAGCAGTAATCCACAACCTTTATACTTGAGATTCTAACAGGATGTTTTTGCTACAGTCGTGCTGCAGAACAGAAACAAGCAACCACTGAATCATACTGGACTCTTCAGTGGAGTTCTTCAATTGCTCAAGTGGAGGATGTTGAAGATATGCATGCTGTTATTAAGGAATAAAAATAAAGTAAAATAATAAAAAAAAAGCTTGTGTAGACAGTCCAAACCATGTAGGCTTTTAATGCAGATGAGCAGGACTTCATTTAAAGCTGAGTTGCATATTTTATCAAAAACATTTCTTGATGTGAAAAACTAGCAAAGCTGCATATATAAAATAACCCCCATTTACATTAGGGATGAATAATGAAAATACATAAATACAGACAAGTTCATATTTAAGTAGTGCTGCATTAAACTAACCTTTTTTCTCTTTTGATACTAATTCCACCAATTCAAGATATTTGCTCATACTGTGTTTTTTTTCTGTTTCTTCTTTAAATTTATAACATATAACCCCACAGTGTGGAAACGGCTGGGTTCATGTAGTGTAACAAAAGGCTTTAACAACACAGTGGAAACACAGAAACAACTACAGAAGGGTGTTTTATGTGACTCATTGCTGTGAGAATTACTGAGCTCTTTGTTATTGTTTGTGATATGGCCACTCTAATATGAAGTGTGCATGTGTGTGGATAAAAGGAAGTTGTAGTAAAGGAAAGATATTAAAGGCTGGTTTACAGTGGATTATGGATGGCTTACCATGAGTTGGCTGACTCAAAGAGCAGTGGACAGCACAAGCAATTTTCAAGTTTTGTTCTTTTGTGTTTGGTGCAGAAGAGAAAAAAAAGTATCTTGAACTAGATGAATTAATGGTTCTCAGCAAACAACAAGCAGATAAACAGGTGAAAGCTCTGTCAGTCTAACCAGCAGCTCAACAAAGTCAACCGCACCACAAATGAGCATTTAATACACTCGAGCTGCTGAATTAATTGATGAGCCCTACCAACCAGCCAAAGGAAATAGATCAATAATATGCGCTTAATAGCATGATCTTTCTACTGCTTAACTTATCAGTGACTTCTAGCCAATACCTGTTCCATTTAATGAGGTCAGTGTCGGCACAAACCATTTTATTACTAGGCGTCTGCCGTCCCAATGCGCACTGTACACACATACTCTTGTTTGTTCCAACATTAGTACAACTACATTGTGACAGATTTTCAGTAAACTGACTTTTTCAATCTGACCTGATTAATTTAGCAACCTGTTGCTTCCTAAAATAGAAGCAAATTAATTTAATACATTGCACAAGTGACAAGTCTCAAGTGTATTTTAATGTGTTTTAGTTTGCGTATGTGGCACAGTTTTTTGTTTTTTTTTTCCCTTTTTTTATTGGTCCTCTCCTTGAAAAGACCCATCCTCAATCCACTGGTCAGAAAGTTTGTGTACGGGTTTGTTTTTTGTGGGAAAGAACAGATGCCATTCCTGACAGCGATGTTCAAATGAAAAACAACCTCGGCCTGTCATTTGGTTTAACAAGCTTTGTCTTGTAGTCTGGGTAGGTGTCTTGTCTCCATAAACACAATTTATCTATACCCATTCAGTAGACCTTTTTAAAGCTCTATTAAGATGTTGAATCTCAAGAGTGGGGATATAAAAGCATATACAATAAGTTTCCCCTGCTGCAGTGCTAAAGGCTTGGCGTTAGTGTGTCTTACCTTAGCCGGAGACGTAGCGGGAGGCTAAACAAACACTGTGTACTAATGAGAGAAATCTGCATGATGTGTGTGGGCGGACATGAGGATAATAAATCTCCAAAGAGCAAGCAACAGTAGGCGTACTGATGATTAATAATGTTGATGGACATGTTCCGGCATTGTATGATTTTTTTTTTTCTCTTATTTTTTCATGTGGTGTTGTCGTATTATCACAGAATGTGCTAATGTGTCACATTCGTCGCTATAGCAACATTATCTGTTTCACTTGGGATGTGAGTGTCTGTGATGTGGCAAAGGTAGTTGACATTGTTATGTGCATGTTTCTGTTTTCGTGACGTACAACTTGTCCATTTTCCTTCCATGAAACCCTTTCGTGTGTGATAGGTAACTGTAGATGAAGAGAATAAAACAGACTGAGCTAAAGCCAGGTGTAAAAGCGAGGTTGTGTCCAGGAAAAGGGTTGACAGGTGATTTTTTTTTTTTTTTCTTCAATTTTATAATTATGATTCTATTCTGGAATGTGGTCTCTCCTCTAACTGTCATTCACAGTTGCCTGGTTTTAACTCACTCCATCCTCATTCTGCCATTATACTGATTGTCTTTCTCCCTTCAGCACTCAGACTAACATTACTGCTTTAAGTTTTTCTGTGGTTCTGACACATCTGCCAAGAATGCAGGATTGCAATTACAGCAGTTGAACTAATACCTTTATGAGTGTGACTAGCTTTAAGTTGAAGTTGGATTTGCAATGTTTCTCAGCAAGAAATGTGACTTGTAACAACAGTTGCAAAACATCCTACACCAATAGTATAATAACAGTAATGATATGACATCTGAAGTCATTTTGCCAGAATGCATGTTAAAGGCATAGACTGTATAAAAGATGGACGTAGCTACCGTGACGTCACCCGTTGGTTTCTGCACTGAGAAAATGAAGCCAGGGTTTTGCTACTTCCTGGTTGACATCTTGGATTTTTGGAGCCAGTGACGCAAAAATCGTCGGAGGGGGGCGGAGCCATAGGAGCAGCAATTGGTCAGACGGATTGAGAGGCAGGCCCTCTCTGCCCGCCCACATTGACCGCCTTCTGCTCGCTTCATCTGTATGGTCGCTGGCGACTGTCAATCAAGCCAGCCACGCCCCTTGCCCCGCAAAATGTTGACTATTTTTTTAAAATTCAGTATTGATTTATTTTCAGATTGGCCACCTGATCTCTGGATTTGACCATGAAAACTAATAAGAAAAAAATCCTGAGCTGTAGGAATGCGGTATTTCATGATCTGTGATCACTTCTTTTCCAATTCAAGTCTATGGGAGCCAGGGCTTTTTGAAAACAGGAGCTAGCAGACGCAGTGATATTGTAGGTTTTTGTCACTTACGGGTTGGCTTCATTTTTCAAGGCCGGTTGCTACGTCCATCTTTTATACAGTCTATGGTTAAAGGCACAGAATATGTAACATTTCCACCATAAAATGTTTAGATCCAATTCCAATGTTAGCTGCTTTGTATGACATTCTAATTTCCTCTTTTTGTGATAAAAGTTTTTTTTTGTTGCTCTCAGTCGAGACAGGTACAAGTTTAAGTCATTTCTGGTAAAATATTATTCATTGCCCAGCACACTCCAGCTGCATCCTTTGTATTTGAGCTTAGAGTTTTTTGTTTTTTGTGTTTGTTTTGCTTTGTGTGGGCTGAGATTTTTATACCCAACACCTGAAATTAATCTTGGCAAATAGGGCAGCCTACAGTGTCTCTGTGTGGAGTTGGCGGTGACACTCTCATCTGAAGCCACAAATTGTAATCTATGCACACACAGGTGCATTTTTGAATATGACTCATGTATCATCCTAACTGTGCATTTGTGTCACTGCTGTGTGTGTCTGAGCAAAACAGTCAAATCAATTGCAGACACGGCAATATGTATTTCTGTTATTGACTGCATATGTTTGTGTTTCATTCCTTAGCAATCAACGTGATCAGTCTGAACCCCGACTATAATAGAGGAACTGTAGCATTTAAAGGTCATCAACCAATAAGATGCCTCACTGCTGGAGGTCACAGCCAATCAGCAGCTCCCTTGTGACATGACCTCCTGTCAGTTTTTACAATCCTCTGCATTCCTGCATCCGAAGCACAAACAGAACTCATGAAGTTTGACTTGGTCAGAGAGGAGATCCAACATATTCTTGTTTTGATGGCATCCTTTCGTGAGAGACACAAATTTAGTCATTCCCCCTTTCTTTCAGCTCTTTGTGCAGTCGGCCATGCTGTTTGTCCGTTGGAAAAATTGGTCCAGTGTTTGGTTTCACTACTGTGGGAAAAAGAGTCACAGAGACAGAGAGAGAGATGAGAGTAGAAATGAAGAGAAGGCCACAGTCTACCCTGAGCTCATGTCCTTCAGCACATTTTTAAGTTTTCTTCCCCCATCCTTTCATTTTCACTCTGTTTCACTTTTCTTCCTCCTTTTGAAAACTGTGACTCTCCCTCCGGCTATTGACCCCCTTGTATGTCTGTCCTTTGTCTTCCCCAATCCCTATTTCTCTGCTGTCACTTTGCCTTTTTGTCTCCTGTTTGTAAACTACTTACTTATTGGCAACTCTTTCCTTTCCCTTTTTCACATCTCAACTTGACTCTATCTTCCCCACTGTTTCTTCCCTTTTTAATGTACTGTACTTCTACCTTTTGACCTTTTGTTTCTGCCGTTCTCTTTGTTAATCTTTGCACTGTTTCTTTTCATTTCCCCTCATATCTCCCATCATTCCTTCCTTCCTACATTTTCATTTCCTTTTACCTACTCTACATTTACCGCGCCTCCATCTTCCCTCCTCTATCTCCTCCCTTCAGCTGTATGATTTGGGCTCCCCGGCCGACTCGCAGTCCAGCTCTCCAGGCTGCTTGACCACCGATAGCAGCTGTGTCAACATGGGCTATCCGTCCTGTGGCCACCGGGGTCGCTGTCACGGTGAGTGGGGCTCCTTCAGCTGCCAGTGTGTGCCGGGATACACAGGACACCAGTGTGAAGAAGGTAAGCCAAACTTCTATGGATTTATGCATTAAAGGCTGGAGTGAACTGTACCATCAACAACAAAATGAAAGCATCATTGTGTCCCAAAAAGATCATTTGCTTCTTTGCCAAATACTCGACTATGTTGACTATAACATGTAAAACTAAAGGATAAAGCTTTTGAAATGTTTCTGAATATGATTTATAAGTTAGAATATATACATATTTATGTTTTTTTCTTATTAAATAAGAATTGTACAATATAACACACACACACGCACACACACACATATATATATATGATGCAAATGACCTTTCTAGTTTATAACTTCAGCTTTATTGAACAGGTAAACTGGATGGTCAGTATAGCCGAGGGCATAAGAAATGAGGCGCACCAACATGTTACAGGCTGTTTGTTTTAACACCCTTCAGGGATGCTGAGCAAGTAAACGGTTGTTTTGCGTTTGAAGTGTAAAGTTTTAGTTTTTAAGGCCATATTAAATCTTTCTGACACAATCTAATTGCAAACATTCTCGTAAACCTCGAGAACCTCCCATTTTGTAATCACATAACCTACGCTATAAAAGGGAATAAAGCTTGAGTGGACAACAGACAGTGTTGGAACTTATCAACCAGGTCTAATTACTTTTGTTCTCGCCCACTTCTGTTTAGTGCTTTTCTAGCTTCAGTGACATACAGTACCATCTGCTTCATGGTATCCTGTATGCAGATGTTGCATATTCTTTTTGTAAATGTATGCATGTACAGGTTGCCTCTCTCTTATTGTTGATTACCACTGTGTACGTTTTGCTGTACTCAGAAACATATGGGCCCTTTGCAGTCTCCATGTTAATGAATCTCATGGTTTGAAGCACACAACTCTTTGTGAGCTTTTCTGTTTGGCCTTCTGGCTGTGGAAGCAGCAACTGCTGGAAGAGACTGTTGCTGGACTGAGATGGGATCTTTAATGACCCTGGTACTGCAGTGTTGATTGCACACATCCTCCAGGTTGAGGAGTACACCTCAAGTGATACTTTCTGCTGACAGCAGCACTCTCTGCCAGGCTTTAGAGTCTTGTTTGGTTCCTGTGTTCATGGTGGTGTGGGACTCAAATGTGCAAGCGCAGAATATGAAATGTTTCCAGGTCATAAAAACAATATTAGGTCAATAACCCATACAAAAAGGTATTTTTCATGTTCTTTTTTGAGACAGTAACTAATAACCATCTTTTTTAACACTTCAAACAACCAACAAGGGGCAGATAGACGAACTCTCAGAAAATAATTAGGTGAATAAAATAATGAATAAACGAATGGATAATGTGAATGAGCTACAATCTGGAGTCAATGACCAAGAGGGGTCTCATGGATGATTTTGGCAACAGATGAAGCAGTCTTTGAAGTAAGAAACCATCTTGTTTATTCCTTTAACTTGGCAAAGCAGAACAAAAGAGAACAAAAAGAATTACAGCCTTTGAGGGCTTAGAGGGTTAAGATACAGATGGAAGCAACATACCCACTTTGACACTGGCTGAAAACCTTTGTTGCATCCCTCCTTTACCTCATTACCTGTTATCTCTCTACTGTCTCTCATGAAGGCATAAAAAAAAAAAACCCCCAAAATACTTACAGATAGAGCCCCTTCATGTCTGTTTTGAGCTTGCTGTTGATCCAGATTGTGCCTGGAGATGCCTTAGCTGAAGCATATTAACACCTGATATTAAATTGCATTTTTGGCACACACATTAAAAGTTGATGTCTTGCAAAAATAAATAAATAAATAAATAAATAAAAAATGATGGTCTGCGCTACTTAGTAATATCTAAATGCTCAAAGGCACATACCACCTCACTCAGCTGCCGTTCAGACCAAAAACACCCCGGCGTTAAAAGAAAAAAAAAGGTTAATTATTTTGGTGGGGTGAATTGTTTCAGGCTCCGGTGAGATGATCAAATATGATCCAGGGAGTCCAGTTGGAGTAATAAATCCATGGGTTTGAAAGACTTATCAGACATCAAAATGCTGCACAGTGGTTTAGAGCATTATGGAGATAATTATTTTACCTTTCGCTCTAAGAATCATAATTTTAGACAGGGCTTAAATTCTGTCTGAATGGAGCCATGTCCACCTGAGGGTACCCATCCATCCACTTTCCTCAGCCTGTCCAGATTCGGGTTTTTAGCATTATGTTGCTATCTGAAACCCACTGCAGGCTTTTCAGTGGATCTGTTTAGATCTCTGTATTTATGTATATTTGCTGTCTACCACAAAGATAAGTAACAGTAGGCAAACCGCTCTGAAACAAATTATGGTGTTCTTTCTCATGTTGCTTCAAAAAGAAAGCCATGGATTTAGTAAATAACTGCACACTTTAGCTCATCACATACTTCTGTACTAAAGAAAAGGTGAGATAGTTGGTGTAAAATTGATTATGTTAATATGCATTTACATCCACAAATCATTTGTAGACAGCTTGATAAACACAGTAAAGCACAACATTTGGTTTTGGGAGATTTAAGAGGAGCTTCCATGACTAGAAGAAATCACAAAAATTGATTTGACTTTGCTTTCAAGCAGAATCTCTTGAACCACTCAACTTTGTCAAAGTTGCACGGAGGAGAGACAAAGAGGGAGAGGTGTGAAAGCAATAGAGGAAAGGAAATTTAACTTGCATATGCTATGAGATGGAAGAATGACTATGAGAACTGTTTAGGTGTGCTTGGTTTATTCTGCCTGCCATGCACAAAATCCACTTCTGGGAACATGGGCTTAGAAAGAAGAACCGAGCATAACCCAAGCTAAACCACACATCCATATTCTATCTTGTGTGTTTTACATATCATGTTCTGCCACCGGCTCTCTGCATGTGAGAAGAAGAAATTTATGGATTTATAAAACTGGAGTAGTTGGAAGGACTTGAGGTAACTCCACTGAGGGTAGTGCACCTTTTAAATTGATAAAGTGCTGTGTTTTGCTTTTAAAATGTTTGTTCTGGTTGTGTGAGGTCATAGCACTATCTGACCGCTGTGTGTGTGTGTGTTTGCATGTACCAACACCAGAGGTCCCAGAGTATTCCTTTGACGGCCACAGTCATGTGCATTACCAGTTGTCGTCCCCTCTGCCTGCCCGAAGGACATGGATTCAAGTCTTGATTCGAACCCGCAAACATAGCAGCATCATTTTCAATCTGATCTCAAAGGAGCAGAGTGAATATCTACGACTTGAGGTAAGTCCGCTCTTCATAGCAATATGGTTTTGGTTGTAGTTGGTTGTGTGAAGAACAAATTTCCTTTTTTATTTTTTGGCCAATGTTCAATGTCTGTTCCTCTCTCCATCCTCTTGTAACAGCAGTCATTGTCTTTGCTCATGAACTGCACATACAATATGCAGTGTTTCTACTGCTGTCATTGTTTCCTATCGAGCATTCACTGCTGCTGTTTGGAAATGTGAAAAAAGCAATTCATTACAATGACGTCTTGCCAGTTGCAGATATTTTCCCCAAACGTTCATGACACTATAACCTGTTAAAGAAATAGTTGGACAGTTTGATGAAATACACTTTTTTTTTTTTTTTTTTTTTTTTTAAATGTTTCAGAAAATAAAATATCACCATTCAAATATGATTTGTGTAACTGTAATATTTGAATTATTTGATACAACTATACGGGAGCAGACAATCAATCAGTTATGAGTGAAGACACAGTTTACCCTTAAGGTCTGATGGCCACTGAAGGTAGTGAGTTTTCATTATCTATGTATGACGTACTTTATTTGCCCCTGTCATTTTACAAGGAAACATTACGTTATTATGAGAAAAAATGTGGTTAAGATTTATTGGTGGAACAAAGAATATATATTTTTTGTTTAATATAAATCTATTGCATCTAGCTGCACAGTGTAGCAAAGCACCTTTCATAAGATCAGAGTAAAATTATTTAAAATGAGGCCATCTCAAACAGCAGCAGCAGACTCAAGATGATTAACTTTTAAAGATGTCAAACATGAATAGATAGACATTTATATTGATTTTGATGAAAATTTGAACAGTATTATCTCAATTGAATCAGTAAAAATGCAGAGACACAGCCTTGAGTGAGACACTCTGGACAATGACATAGACACATCGCATTGACTGGCTGTAGTGGGCTCTGGCAGCCGATGGACAATCACTGCAATGATGTATTGTGACGCTCACTTTTCCAATGACCATCTGCTGCTGTGGTGTACAAAACATCTTCTGGCCTTCACTCAACACAGCAGGAGACCTACAACGATGCACAGCTAATCTACCAGCGAACAAAAGTTCCTTTGAGAAGCTGAATTCGAAAGGAATTCAGAACAGCAATGTGTGGATAGCTTCTAGGGACTGATCGATATTCAGCATTTTTCAGATTATTGGTATTGTTACTTTTTTCGTCACTAGTTTCCAATAAAGGACTGCAAAGTGGCGCAATTGGTAGCACTGTTGCCTCGCAGCAAGAAGGTCGCCAGTGGGGGCACCAGGGATCTTTCTGCGTCGAGTTTACATGTTCTCCCTGTGCAGCGTGGGTTCTCTTCGGGTTCTCCAGTTTCCTCCCACACAGTCCAAAGGTTAACTGGTGATTCTAAATTGTCCGTAGGTGTGAATGTGAGTGTGCTTGGTTGTCTGTCTCTAAGTGGAGCCCTGTGATAGTCTGGTGACCTGTCCAGGGTGTCCCCTGCCTTCACCCTAAGTCAGCTGGGATAGACTCCAGCCCCCCGCGACCCGAGTGAGGATAAAGCAGTGTATAGATAATGGATGGATGGATGGATGGATGGATGGATGGATGGATAGTTTCCAATAAAATGACTGAATTTAAAAATACATGACTTTGTCTCTGATGCTGATGCCTGAAGTCACAACTCTGTGGTCTTAAGGAGTGTTTCTGTGATTTTACATTGTGACACCAATTTATTTTTACTGCAAATGTATATCAGTTCCAAATATCCGTTATCTCTCTTATTGACGACTAGCAATTAGTATCAAGACAAAAAACATCTTGA